GACGCATGAAAGGTTATGACATGTTAATATGACTGACTTAACATGAACCTAAACATGAATAACTCAATTCATAGATATAAGAGATGTAAAAACAAATATTAATTAAAGCTCATTGTAATTAATATCTCTAGCATTAATTCATAGTAACGTCAGTGACATATTATAAGAACAAGCTAGAGATAAAGTAAATATATATGCACTAGAGACTGTTATACATGCTTGTTGAGAAGTGAATATAGAACATTGGAAAGGTAGATGAGGTGAAATATTTAATATATGGTATTTCAAAAGTTGAAAAGTATAAGAAATATATCATATATAAAATTTTAGGATTATCCCAAAGTTATGGGGGGATATTGTCCATAGATGAAATTTGCTATGAGTTACCTCACTAGATAAGAAATACTTATAAATGTATGGTTCTTAATCCTAAGAGATTTTGTATAAACCAAAAATCATTTATAGTATTATAACAATAGTGCATGTTGTTTCCTATGAGGAAAATATTATGGAACAACAAGAAGAGTTATTTTTCCAGTGGAAAAACTGAGTTATTTATTCTAGTTGAAGAGTAAAGTGTGCAAGCTTATAAGTCCTTGAGTGGATTAAAGCTGGTACCAAGACAATGACATAAATGTGACGTATAAGTCATTACATGCCTTAAAAAAATTAATGATATACTAATTAGTATATTTGATATGAAAGATTTAACATCTGATAACATAGTATATTCTCAATAGAGTGAGATTGATATAATACTAGTTATGATAACAAAAGCCTAGCTAACTTTTGTAGATGTAAATCTCAAATATAAATACTAGTTAAAGTATATCACTGGTTGAGATTGCAAGGCATCTTAATAACTGTGTTTAATTACACATTTTCAATCCAGAATCAAATCACTAAAAAATAATAAATTGGGTAGTTGAGATACACCCTAAATCCAATATTGTATAAATCGAGGTATCTAACTAAATTGGAGGTGTAGCAGTGATGTAATCTGGATATGGGATATTAAAGACTTCAAATCCAAGAGTGGATATGTCTTTTATATTAAAGGTGTAGTTGTATGTTTTTAATATAACTCAAAGTTAGAAACTTTGAATAAATCAAATAGGAAACTCAATAGACTTCACCTATAGGACATTTCAAAGTAAGTTTACACTTGTGCCACTAAAGAAAATGATATTACTAACAATAAGCAATTTTAGGGCACAAAGTATACAGTTGCTCTCACCTGGAGAAATCTCTGCAGAGTGTAATATTTCAAAACACAACTTTGTGGCCACATATAAAATTGAGGGTTGTACTAGAGAGTAATTGTACAGATCATCGAGGGGAATGGGATTAAAAGCCGAAAGTTAATGAGTCACCTTAATGGAAACCCAACCTAGTTGACCGGAGATCCCAAGATTTAGGTTCAAAGGGACAACAGAAATTCTGAGTGACTCACCAGAAGCACTGGGAAGATATAAATCTTCTGCCCATTTCTATGATGAGACAGTGCTACCTATGGCGAGGATTAGGATAAGCTATGCTTTGAATGACTCTTATACCTTGAAAATTCAAGTGGGGTATGGTAGGATACTCTTAATAAGAAGTCACCTATATGAGTGTGAAGTGGGGCCGCTTCTATGAGAATTATAAAGGCTAAGTTTTCTGGAGTACTCATTGAATACCAGGATTTGTTCAGGGCCAAAATGAACACAACAATGAGAACCAACTTTGTGAGGACAGGTACTGTGTGTTTGTTATTGTCTTGGTTTACACAAACGGCTGAATAGTTCAAGACATCGCGTTCACTGGTTAGCCAGTAAATCTAATAGCAATACACTAGGGAAGGTTCAAAGCTAAAAGTTACCTATCCTGATGCAGTAACTTTCTGACTATACTCTCTCTAATGTCTGCACGATCATCTTTTGTATTTTACGCAAATTTCAATTCATGTGGGGGATTGTTGGAAACGGGGGTGTTAAAAACATAAACTTTAGATGAGGTTTGGAATAGATTCCGCTAATAATTTTTTGTGGATCGTTAGACGAGCGTGTTTCTCTACGCAAGGAGATGAATGTGGTATATTTACTTTCTCAAATCCGTTTCCGGGTGAATGAGTAAGTAGCTTCAAAGTGTGGTATTTTGATAAGCCTAAATGAGTATGCAAAATGTAGGAAGTGTTTGTTCACATGGAAAAAATATTGAAACTAATTGAAATTTAAATAAGCCAAATTTGGGCTTGGGCTTAGGCTTAGGCTTGGGTTTGGGCCTAATTGTAAAGTTTAATTATTCTTTTTACTAAATGGAATCTTGAATTGGGCCTTTAATTTTGGGGTGGGCTTATTTAAATGGGTGGTTAGTTTTTGAATTTAAATTAAAAGTTATTTATTTTTTTTTTTTTCCCAAAAGGTTGTATCTATTTCTAAAGGGTTGCATCTGTTTTTCAAAGAGTTGTATTTGTTTCTAAAGGGTTGCAACTCAAAACCAACAAACATAACTATTCATGTGAACGATTGCAACCTATTGGAGTGAATGTGTCTATTGGTGAACAGACACCATGTGAACCATTGCAACCTATTGGAGTGAATGTGTCTATTGGTAAACATACACCATGTGAACCATTGCAACCAATTAGAGTGGATGTGTCCAATGTGAAGAGACACATATAAATGGTTGTGTCCAATGATGAAGAGACACACCCAATCCGAAAATGCATATTAATTAAAAACTACTTTTTAGTTTTTTCCAAAGAGTTGTACCCAATCTGAAAAGGTACCTTGTTGCCTATAAATACCCCCCTTTGGATCATTTGCAAATCGTTCATTTTCATTTTTTTTTTTTATCTCCCTCTCTAAACTTGAACCCAACCCAAGTGGGTTCAAACCATAGGTTAAGTGGTCTAAACCACTTAGACCCTAATCCAATTTCATTGAACCATATTAAGATTGGTCAGAACCATTTGGATTGGATTGCACCCAATTCAGTATTTATATAGTATATAGATGCATTTTAGAGTTAGCAAGAGTATTGCATAGAGAAGGTTCATTGTATCCATAAGTTTGTAGTACTGCTACTGGTGGATGTAGATGGATGTAGACCGTTGTATCCTGAGATTATTTTGCATATTTAATTAAATATAGAGTTGCATATTGAATTAATGATTTCTCAACATATTGTTAATTATCTCATGATATATTAATATAAGATTTATTATATCTTAAATGTCACATGAAGCATATATTTACTAACAAACTATTGGGTAGTGCTGCATACCCACCCATTTATACTCAATCACTTTTTCATCCGATTCCGATGTGGGACAAATGACCCTTGTTACATTTTCCCCCACCCAAACTCGTAACGTCCTCGTTGTGGTTCGGGCCACCTTGCCTACTCGGGATGCTTACCCGGACGCCTTTCGGGTCGGGCACTTTGGCGTGACACCGGATCAAGGACTGGGTTTGGCTTTGATACCAACTGTAACGGGTGGACACTTGCCTATTTACCCAAAAACTCGAACTATTGGGTAGTGCTGCATAACCACCTATTTATACCCAATCACTTTCCCATCCGATTCCGATGTGGTACAAATGACCCTTGTTGCACTACCTTAGTCTATTCTGTGCATTTTTTATCCATAAAGTTTAATAATTATGAAATTGTTTCTACTGAAAATTTTCAAATTTTACATTAAGAAAATGTCTAAAATAAATAGTGTAAAGTACAGCAACACTATCTGAAGGTTGATAAAAAAACACTCAGATGAAACTTATCCTGTTTTGGGACAATGACACCCCCTAATGATATTTGGAAGCCAAACAGGGCCTTAAAACATGTGAAAAGTCTACTTTACCCTTCATTGTTTAATTAATTTTAATTACAAAATATAAAAATAATTGAAGGACTAAATTACCGTTGAATCTTTCTCTCAATTACCCTCTACCCCCTCTCTTTATATTTCTGTGCAGCCGCCACGCCAGTTAGTACAATTACCATTCCTCTCCGACGCCGATTAGTACCGTCACTGGATCTGGTAGCAGTACACCTCAGAACGGCGTTGTCAGTGGCAATCACGACTCTTCGGATGACACTCCCAATCATGCTGCCGATGGTTATGCGTCGGAGGATTTTGTTACCGATTCGTTGTCCATCAGGAAAGAAAGAAAGGGTCGACTCTTCTAGTACTACACATATATACATTTACGAAATTATGTCTTTGTTTATTTGGATACTTAGTAGATTCATAGTACTTGATTTATGTTGGTAATTTTTGTAATGAATCAACTTTGGAATAAAAGGAGACAAATTCCTGCTTTGAAATTGATCTTGATTTGGTTATTCTTTTTACTCTAAGTTTATGTGAACACACTCTGTTTTGTTAGTGAGAAATTGGAAAACAAAAGAGACTATAATTTTGAGTTTTGTAATTTAATTCTTTTAGTTTCTAGAAAAATGAAGAAATCAACACAATTGAATATCTGGCTGAGGTGGGTGGAGGGTTATGATTTCCAGTTCGGAATAATAAAAATGATATGGAAATGTGATTATTTTGTTTTCCTACACCTTTACTCAACAGATGGGTACCTTTTTGTTCTGCTTTTTTGGAAGGTACCAGTTTTGAGAGAAGAAAAATGGGTTTCCAAAGAGAGCTACTCTTGATGGATTAGTATTGTCACCATTCCTCTCGACGGCGCTGTGTGTGTGGGGCTGTGGTTGTGGCGGGGTGTGTGGAGAAAAGGGAACGAGGGGGAAAAGAGAAACTAAAAAGAGATAAAATGGATATTTAAGTCAATAAAAAGTATAATATTTGTTAATTTTATACAAAATGGTAATATAGGCAATTCATCGTTGTTGTAGGAGTGTCTTTGTCTACGAGGAGTTATAATTGTCTAAAAATAGAATAAGTTGTACATGTGTGTCCTTTTGATAAACTGTACCTTATCCAAATAAATACACCACTATATGTATTTGCCCTAAGACCAATTCACACGTTCCTCATTCTCTCACATTGTAGGATTGATTGCGTTGCCGAGGTGCCCCTTCCATCCTATTTGCCAACCAATCCCACTCCTCGCTACCCATCCACACCATCAACAAATAAGCCAAACTAACTGAAACCCACTTCACTGAATTTGAAAACAAACACAATAGTTAAATGGGAGTTGAAGATTCAAATGTCTCGGGTCCTATTACCTGTCGGAGTTGTGGACTGTGGTGATACTGTAAACAACATTTGTTAGTAAGGGGGTTTCTTCTCTGGAAACGATGTCGTGTAAGGCAGCATAATACACCGCTTAAGAAATCGGAGAGTATTTTAGGGTTCATCAGGAAATCAGAGAGTATTTTAGGGTTCATCAGGAAATCGGAGATCCAAATTTGCGACAAGATTCCGATCGAATAACAAGAACAGAACAGGTGAGTCCCTTCCATCATTGTCCATGTTTAATTTCATATTAAAAACTTTACCTTATTTGAGGTGTGTTGTATCAACTTCACCAACCCAGAAACTGGGTATTCTTCAACACCACCCATTTTCTTCATCGTCATCAGCACTCAAATCCACACCTAGCACTTCAATCAACACTCATTCACTGTCGATTACCTTATCAAATCATGTGGGCTTCCTCCAGAAAAGGCTCTTGCAGCCTCCAAGTTCGTCAACTTCGAAACCCCACACAAACCAGACTCTGTTCTCGCATTCTTCAGCAGCCATGGATTCACCGAAACCCAGGTCTCACTTCTCATTAGAAGACACCCTCAGGTACTCTTATCCGATCCCGGGAAAACCCTTTTTCCCAAAATCGTATTTTTCCACTCTAAAGGTGTTTCAACAGAAGACATTGCCAAAATACTGACTGCAAGACCGACTATTTTGAAAAGAAGTTTGGAAAATCAAATAATCCCATCGTACAATGTCTTAAATGAATTGCTCAAGTCTAAAGAAAAAACAATTGCAGCTATTAAACGCCAAGGTCAGCTTTTGTTGCAAGATCTTCAAATTCGTGTGGCACCCAATATTGAAGCTATGAGAGAATCAGGTGTGCCTGAATCGAATGTTGTGGCACTCTTTACGAATCATCCTAGAGTTTTCATAACTAGTACTGATAGGTTTAAGGAGATTGTGGAGGAAGTAAAGAAAATGGGTTTCAACCCTGTGAGAATGAATTTTGCTTTAGCAATTCAGGCACTGAGGAAAATGAGTAAATCAACTTGGCAAAAGAAGGTGGAGGTTTATAATAAGTGGGGTTTGTCTGAGGATGAGATTTTAGTGGCGTTTGGGAAGCATCCACTTTGTATGACGACGTCGGAGGATAAGATTATGAGGATAATGGATCTTTTTGTCAATAAAATGGGTTGGGAATATTCGATTGTTGTGAGGGCGCCAAAGCTTTTAACCCTGAGCTTGGAGAGGAGGTTCATTCCAAGGTGTTTGGTTTATCAAATTCTATTGTCGAAAGGTTTGATTGAGAAGAAATTTAGCTCAAAGATGTTGGAGTCTCCTGAAAGTCAATACCTAAAGAAGTATGTGAAAAAATACGAGGAAGAAGCTCCTGAGCTTTTGAAGTTATATCAGGAGAAGTTGAATCTTTCAAAGTAACTAGAATATGGGAAAATGAGGTGCAGAGTGGATTTTATTTAAATTTAATACATCTCTGATTCCAACTATACATTGGTTTCTCCTTGTTTACTTTTGGGTACTGAATTTGCTTTGCTTTTATTTGAAATACAACTTGGCAATCAATTCAAATTCATTAATCTCTGAGCAATTTTGAGATCTATATGTTAGTTTTGGCAATTAGAACTTGAAGCTCAACAACATGGTGCATTGAATTCTCGGGTCTTTTGTAGTAGAGGTTTATGATTGGTGTGATATACCATTGTCTGTTTGTCTGGGAGACCAGTCTAGTTCAATTTGGTAAATTAACGATTTTGGTTTTCAATTGTAACGGTGCAAACATCTAACTCATTTTTGTGTTTTTTTATCCAGAAACTGTAATCTCCCTCTTTTTTTTAGAGCATATATAAATGAGTTATATAGCGATCGTTTTCTTTGTGCAAGTGTGACATTGTTGGTTCAATTCATGACTCAGTCAATATACCATTTTCCTCCATTTCTGTATTGAGAACTTCTATTCAAGTTGATTATTGGTGAAGCTAATTTCATCATTGTTATAACTTTATGGCGAATTTTGACACTGAAAAACAAATTGAATTTGAAAATGAGTGAATGCAGTAAAACCTGTGTATTTACAATTCAATTTTAACTTACCAAAAAAAAAAAATTATACAATTCAATTTTAGAAGTAGCCTAATTCTTAGACCAGAAGGGTGCCATCTGATGGCTTGGTTCATTTTACAATTATAAAAGAAATTGAGTCAAAATGCTAGAGCATGCTAAGATTAAATTATGAAAGTTTATGAAAGATCTACTTGAATTTTCTTTCTTTTTTCAACAGTATTCAGCCTGCTCTCTGCATTTCAAGCTCTCTCCATAATAACCTTTTGTTTGTTTTTCTTTTTATCCTCCTACTCCTCCTTCCTCTTCTTCCATTCTTTCTTTGACTAGGGCTTTCCACTCTCTCTTCTTCAGGAGCGAATACTCAAATTCGCAGCCACTTAAGATCAAGTTATGGCAGAGAAGAACATAACATGAGAAGCTTTCCAAGAACAGATTACAGAAATGCAAGATGAACAGATGAAGGCACCTCAGAGTCACCAAAACAATCCACATGTCTAATTGTTTTCCCTGAATTCGAAGTCCTACCGATATAAAAGAAAATCAGAAACCAACTCCAATGCAGCAGCTTCTTTTTTCAGTAAGGTCTCTCTGGTTATTCCTTTGGTTGCTTAGGTATCAGTCACCATTATATGGATGTGCACTGAAACATAGTAAATCCAGAATCTAGCAAACACGAACCCTTATAAATAAAACTGCATGTAACACTAGTTATTACTTGCATTTACTGTATCAGGCATCGCATTGCTTTACAGAAAATAAAGTTTCTTTGGTCCCAATTTTATGTAAAGTCCTCACTTACATCTTTAGTTCATCTATCAGGGCAATACAGTCACACCTGCACAAGCAGCCATCTGGTTGCCTTCTGATTCATTGAAGTTCTGCTGCCTCTTACAATGGTCTATACGCGTTTCAATAGTGATAATTCTGTTCTATCTGATAATGATTTCTTGTTTTCTCTATCTGGATCAAAGACTCAAAGGGGAGGGGGGAATTTCAAACAAAAAAAAAAAAAAAAAAAACCATTGTGGTTGAGCGTGAGATAAAGAAATAGAGTTGAACCCAGAAGGGCCGTCACGGAGACATGGTAGCAGTTGTCGCAGAAGAGTTTTGGGGAGGCCTTTGTAGTGACTGCCTGGCATTCATGCTCCCAGAAGGGCCGTCACGGAGAGCCCCTGCAATGGATCTCGTTTGGTGTAGCGTGAATCTGATTAGCATGAATCCAGATCTTCTTTTTTTGTTTTTTTTTTCAAATTATATTATTATTGTTAAAATGTCAAACTTTCCTCAAACTTCTCAGGTGGAGGAGGTAACCATGAAACAATCATCACACTTTCGGGAAAATTGAGTCTGCTTGCACGCAGAGAAAGCACCAACTAGTAAGACTTTTTGGCTATACATAACTCAAAATCAAATTTACTTTAGTCTCCTCCTATAAAAGTTCATAGTCTGACTGCACATTCATAACTCAAAATCAAGTTGAGAGATAGTAAGAGAAAATTGCGGAGAGGATGAACAAGTTCAAGTTGTTTCTTTCAATTAAGCTTTTCCTCCAAAAACTCTTCTTCCTAATAGCCTTTCAACAATCTTCATCATTTTCTTCTGCTTCAGACATGGTATCAGCTGATGCTCAGCGCCACCAACATCTCCAACAAGCCCACGGCGTTCCAGACCCCGAAACGCCGGTAGCAGCATCAGATGCTCAGCACCACCAACAACTCCAACCAGTCGACGTTCGGGTGCAGAACGAAGTTGACTGGCCTGCCAAAGTAACCGCACCAAATTCATTCCCCACTCCCTATAAGCTTCCAGTTTCCCTCACACGCCGTCGTTATTGCTGTCACTTTGCTCTTTGTCTCAAAGTTCATGTATCCCAAGTCACCAGAGCAAGCCCAAGTGCTAGAGGATGTGGGTGTCGTCTTTGGGGTCACAGCCGCCTTCTTCGCCATCACAATGCCTTTCCCACTTTGCCATAAGCTCATTTACTGGACCATTTTTGCTCTTGGTCTGCTGGCCATTTTCATCTGTTACCGCCATTAACCATGTGATGAGGTGGGCAATTGTGACCCAATTTATCATCTGTTTTTCTGCTTTTGTTGTTAAATTTGTTACTCTCTGATTGTGACGTTGGTTAGAGGTTCACAGAGAATAAGTAAAAGATCCCATTTTCAACTTAGATTGTGGCTTGGGCGGAGTGATTAAACTTACCAAAACATCCATACTGCAAATTTCTGATTGATTAAGGGCTTGCTGTTCTTTAATTGTGACCGTGAATGCATACTAATCGTAATAAAATTGAGATTTTTGTGTTTTTTTTTTTTTTTTTTTCTAATAGAGTGATGCCTAGTACTCACTCCTTGTATTTGTTATGAGCAAGCAATGAATACACTCTATGCTCAATACAAGTTGGCACACTTATCCAGTGAATACACTGATTTCCAACAGACTTTTCAGTGTGGTATTCATCTGCTTGTGATAACCAACAGCTGATTTGCTTCCTGTTATCAGCTCTCTTGCTTTTTTATTCTATTCATTCTTTACAAATATTGTCCTTGCGTGACTCGGATCCAATTTCAATAGGTCACCACTTTCAAAAGCTTTACCATTACGGAATGTCTTGTATGATATAATTAGATGCTGCCAAGGAGCAGAGCCAGAAAATTTGGGGGGAAGTGAGTTCTGCAAATTACAACTGGTAGCATATTTGAAATATATAATATCCTGTGGGGGCTCCTGCATCAGCACTCTCTTTTTTGCTTTTTTCTGATCTTTATAGATACACGTAATGCAACTTCTGGATGTGGCACTCTCTTGCTCTTAGCATATCAACTCAGTTATGTTTAGATCCAGTGTGTATAATTGTCTTTGACTTCATCAGATATCCACAGTGAGCACATACATGTTCTCAATTCTATTTTTTTTAAAAAAAAACCATATGCTTTCACTTCTAAGTCATTGGATTTGCAATTGCTAATGCTTACTTTGTGTACCAACATGGTGGATTAGGGTTTTGCGTAGGGGTGGTCATGATAGGGGAAGAAGACCCATTTGTACACAGGACTTAGTTATGACTCGTGCGTGTCCTTACCACTATTCTATTGCCATGTCTCTGGATTAAGAAATTTTATTTTGTTGTTCCTCGAAAAATTCAATGAAATTTTCATTCTTTCTTCTTGTTAGTGTACAAATATGCATTCTAATGTTAGTATTTGTCACCCTGTATTTTTTTTTATTTTTTTTTTTTCCTCCCTAGTTAAGTATTATTTGCCCTTTTTGATTGGAAGCTTTGGTATTCCAAATGCTGATGGTGGGCCTTTCTGTCTGTCTGTTTCATGGAATATGATAATATAAGTTGCCAAAATCTAACTTATTTTTTCATGTTGATAGGAAGTTAACATAGTTTGGTTAATTAAGATCAGAAACTAGTTTTTGATTAGATGGAATTAAGACTTATTCAGTAGTGCTAACTCTGCCTTCTTTTCTTCTTTTATTTCGTTTCTTTCCTAAGCATAGACTATGAAAATATTCATTTATAAAAAACATTAGAATACCATTACATGATCGCCATTCTTATGTTCGGCAAGGCTCCTCCAGATACCGTCCAATAAGAATGGGTTGAATATAGTTAATCAGTTATATCTAAGACAAGGTAATAACAATTCAAGGACTATTGAAACCTTAAAGAACTAATTGAGTTGTCTCAATTGCTCATAATCATGTAATCAAGAAATATAATATATATTAAAATTATCCCAGAATTAAAACAATCAAATCATAGCAATCAGATGGGTTACATCAGTACCCTAAGAGAGGAATTAGCTACTCATGACAATGCAGAATATCATCTGTGTTATTGTTGTCTTCATCGTCACAGACGACACTTCTTTTCTCAGGATCTTCACCTTCTAAGGTTATGGAAACCTTAAAAGCCACCACTACAATACTAGCCTTCTGAATAATACGAGAACAAGGAACTTGGAACCCCTTCTATCAAGGCCTGCGCCTTCTTTTATAGAAGAAAATAAAGGTCTGGTGGGCTTTTAAGTCTTCTGGCCCATCTGGAGTGAAATAGACTTAGAAAAGAATAATCCCGTAACTTTAAATTTCATCTATCATGGAAGGCTCGAGCTTAAGAAGTGGAGCTCGAGCTTTTGGGGCCTAGACTCAAGCTTTAGGAGTAAAGCTTGAGCTTTCTTAAAGTATTGCTTGAGCTTCAAAAGATGGTGCTCGATCTTCAATTATATCCTTAGTCAAATTTCTTCAACCATTTTCCGAAACATCTTTTCCTTCAACACTTAGAATATTTTGGACTTCTCTTCTTTTAACATTGCTCGATCTCAACTTCATAGGGCTCGAGCTTTGGGTCCTGAGCTCGAGCTTTTGGTACTCAAGGCTCGAGCTTTGAATGATGGTGCTCGATCCTTGAGGTCTGGCATGAGGCCCTGGAAGCTTGGATCTTCGTTTAAATCAACTCTTCAAATTCCGATGCCTTATGCTCGAGCTTGAGGGCCAAGGCTCGAGCACCCTAGGTAAAGCTCGAGTACCATTGAAATATGGCTCGAGCTCTAAAGGTACAAGGTTCTAGCTTTAATGCTTTGTTGATTTTTTTTTTTTTTTCCTTGTTACAGGGCTCGAGCCTTAGGACTTAGGCTCTAGCTTTGGGACTTGCAATCTTCCAAACTTCACCATTTAAGCTCTCAGCTTACTTTAAATGACCGGCAACGACTCTGTAAGTTTCGATATCAGTCTTTTCATCATAAGGTCCCGGTTTTAACCGTTTCTCTGGAAAAGTACCTATAAACACACAATAAACATAAATCAGTCTAAAAATGGATAGAAATATCACTTAAGGCCTTAACATATGTATATTTAGGGGGTCAAATATGCAATATTCAGCGTTTATCAAGCATCGTGCCTTTTGGGCCATAAAAGGTTCAATTTCAATCTTGATCAGGCCGGCTCTAACTGGAAATTGCAGCTCAATGAGCTAGAAGAAATCCGGAATGATGCTTATAAAAGTGCAAAAATTTACAAAGCAAAGACTAAAGCATTCCATGACAAGCATATCGTCAAGAAGTCTTTTGCTTCAGGTCAAAAAGTTTGGTTTTTCAATTCCTGTTTGCAACTCTTTCTTGGGAAGCTCCGTTCACAGTGGGAAGGTCCTTTCCTTATCATTTCTGTCTTCCCTCATGGTGCACTTGAGTTGCAAGATCCAAAGAATAGGAATCTTTTTAAGGTCAATGGCCAGCGGCTTAAGCCCTACATTGACAACCTAGTCCCTGTCAGATATGTGATTCCATCATCTTGATGAATCCAATTTATGAGGACTAGTTACATTCCCATATCGTCTAGCTATTGACGTTAAATTTAGCACTCCAAGGAAGTAATTCTTTCTATTCCAAGCTTCCTTATATCTTTGTTACCGTAAACAACAAATTTTTGAAATTGAATAAGTAGAGACTCCACTTTACATTTTTCAGGAATCGTCTAGATTTCCATTCCAGTGGTCATCCTGGGGTTTCTATAGTCATATTACGGTTTCGGTTCTTTGGGAATTTTTGGGCTCATCTCCAAACCACTACCTGGGCATAATTGCATTTAGACGCCATCCTTTGCATCTGACGCCAATACCTGGGCACATTCGCATCCGAACGCCAATCCTCGCGTCCGAATGCATATTTTTGAGTTCTCCCACGTCCGGACGCCACTACATGCGTCCGGATGCCAACACCTGGGCGTTGCCGCGTCCGAACACCAATATATGCGTCTGGATGCCATGTTCACATTGCCCACCAGCTGCGTGCAAGACTTCAGTCGCGCGCCCCATATGACATCCCGTGTCCAGATGCCAGCCTTCGTGTCCGGACGCCACGGCCCAGCTAAGATACCGAGCCCATGTTTAAATGGTATAAGTTGCCCCCTTTCTCTTTAATCTTCATTCTATCTTTTCTCTCTACCCTTCCTACCTCCACATCCTACCTTCCCCACCTTGTAAATCTTTTCTCTTTGCATCTCCATTATTTCCCTTTTCTTCACCTTCCATCATTATCATTCCATCAAAGAGGGCAAAGTTTGGATTTTCAAATTGAGGTAAGTTTCTTTTCTCTTCCATCATTTACATTCTTGGGTATTTCATGGAGGTTGGGGCTTGATATTGTGGATGATTTCTATATTGTTTGGGGGATTATTGTGCTTTAATTACAGGTTCATGAATCTTTGGATTTCCTCATTCTAACCTTCCTACTTGTTCTTTACTTTTCAGTCTTGCACACCACATGTTTGACAAAAGTCCTGAACCAAAATTTTTCATTCAAATGGCTTCTACTACTTCTTCTAAGTGTCCTCGCACTTTTGAGGAGTCTTCTAAAGAGGCTCTTACTCTGGATTGGTTTGAATGGCCAATTAAATTTAAGGCTGAATTCACCACTGAACATGAATTCTAAGACCACCCGGAAACTGTTTGGTCAGTTATGGAGTTGAAGAATCATGGCCTCGACACTTTATTTAAGCCATGTGCTCATGTTTTCCTTCTGCGTATTGTCCGGCAATTTTGCTCCAACATGTCCTACTCATGCACTGAGCCAAATGCGATAAAGACAACAATTGATGGCACACCTTATGCATTCACCATCAATGACATTGCCATAGCTTGGGATTGTCCTTTGACTTCCCCTTTGAATGACGATAATGAGCCTATCTATGGCGTTTTCCCGTATACCATTACCTTACCGGACATTATGCGTGAAATTTGTCATGACAATTTCACAACTCGTCACACAACAAGCACTAACAAGTCCTATATTCCGTGTCGGCTTTGGTTTTTGGACTCTTTCCTTGCTAAGAGTGTCTTTCTGATTGCTAAGCATTCTGAAAGAAAGGGTGTTTTTCTGAACACCCTCTATGCAGCGGAAAGAGGTTATTGGTTTTATGTCCCGCAGCTCATTTGGGACCAGATTCTGAAGCTCTATCATGATCTCATTGTTAAGCAATTGGATAATGCCATAACTTGGTCGTTCCCCTTTCCCAATTTGATCACGAAGATTCTTAAGAAAAAGGGGCACAAAGTGCGCCATAAGGAAGAAAAGAAGGAGGATGTGTATCTTTACAACCTCACTGAATGGAAAAAAAGCCGGTCTCAATTGAAAAAAGGTCGACAGCTCCGCATTGGTAATGAGTTCTATTGGGGTGATGTAGATATTCATATGGAGGCTCATGATGCTGATCCGGCACCCGTTGGCCCACAGCCACCTATTATGACTAGAGTATAGTACGACTCTCTCAGCACCCAGTTTGACACTCTTCAGCTACAGTTTGGTACCATAGAGGGCACCTTTACGGACTTTCGTAAAGAGACTAGAGAGGGACAACAACTCTTGCAGGCGATGGTGCAGTCACTTATTGACTGTGGTGGTGCAGGTCCGGGTCCATCCTCATCCACTTTGATAGAGGATTGAGCATCTTGTTGCACTTTTGGCTTTC